CTTTGCAGCCTCAGTCCGCTGATTTTCTCCATTTTCGCTTAAACTCTACTTTCAACTTCCCTGTCTCCTACTGCTTCATACGAATGGACAGCAACCAAAACCGGCACACCAAAGTTCGCATGGTTACTGGTTGTACGAACTGAAAAGAGGAAAACGTTTTCAGCACTATATACTTTTACTATTAACAAATACTGGTATCGCTTCTCGCATATGACTTCGATTGACTGGTTTTTTGGTGGGCGTTCGCTATGTGAAATTTAAAAAATAGGATCATCCTTTATTTACAAAGGCAGCTGTTACGATATGCATCAAAAGCGGTCTTCCATCTGTATTTCTCAGTCACACTTAAAACAAAAACAGTCTATTATTCCAGTTTTGTTAGAATGTTTCAATATTAGCTTTGAACCGGTAGAAGTATATATCATGTATGATAAGAACAGACTAATGAAAAGTGGAAAGATAAAGTTCGTGTTCGTTTATGCGAAAAGCAAATCTTTTACTGTTTTACCTCAATAGTTGTTTTTAAACACATGACAATTCACCTCTGGCTTACTAGCTCGCTCGCATTATCCCCATCTAGGCCAAACAGTGTAAACATCGACTACTGAAAACCTCCAACCGATAGGTATCTTGTACTGGCCGATTCGAGATCTCACAACCGTAAAATAGAACTAACCGAGCGGTGACGCGACTTTTCAACTTCAGTGAAACTTCGTGTCGTCGCCGGCAGGTGCTTCACTCTTTACATACGTTGCTGGTGCCGTGGAAATGCGTGCCCTCTATTTCTCTTGCTGTCATATCGCCAAACCCCAGCTGGCTCGGTTTTGTACCATGGTATTTGTGCTCCAACAAAAAAATTGAATTTCTGTTTGACTTAAACTCGGAAGTGTCCCCGGAGATGTCCGACCCCAGCTGCTTGAGACTGCTCTCTTCTTACTAACCGCATAGTTTATACAATATTCAAACGGAACACATCCTCCATTCTCGCGTTCAACACAACGCTCAATTCATTGCTAATCCTCCCCCCTTGAATGCCAGTGTAGCGATATTCGGTATGCGTTTTGCACCTTCGAAGTGCAAAATGTTATTACAAGACTGGGTCGGTCCAGCACCGAGCCTCACTCTAACTGGAGAAGTAATAGAGCAGGTGGATGCGTTTTGTTATTTAGGCAGCTACATCTCACCCGGTGGACGCATCATGGACGAAGTGTCAGCTCGCATACAGATGGCTCGGTTGGCATTTGCCAACTTGAGACATCTGTGGCGCCGTCGCGACATCCGGCTGTCTGTGAAGGGTCGAGTGTATACCGCGACAGTTCGGTCAGTCCTGCTATATGGAGCAAAACCTTGACCATTAAGAAAATAGGACAAAGATAGACTATCTGTGTTTGAACACCGCTGTCTACGCAGTAGTGCACGAATCTGGTGGGGCAGCCGGACGAGCAATGCTGAGGTCAGGCGAAAAGTTTTAGGCAATCGCGGTCGCCCACTGGAGCAAGTGGTCGACCTCCATAGATAGCGCTGATTGGAGCATGTGTTACGCATGTCACCAAATAGGTTGCCACGGCGAGCGATGTTCGCTGAGGCAGGTAGTGGGTGGAAGAAAGTCAAGGGTGGTCAAGCTAAGACCTGGCACGAGGGTATGAAAACCCTGACCAGGGTACTGGTTCACATAGGTTCCGTTAGTCTCCCTGGCTGGGGACCCCGAGATCATGATCACCGGTGGTTAGAGACACAGTGATATGGCTGCGTGTCGCAAACAGTGGCGCTCAAGCATTTACTCATTATCCTTGTGACTTCAGTCTATGTAAATGCGCTATCATCTTCTTGAATCTGCTCTCAACATTCTAATCACCATTCTGCTGTTTTATCCAAATGGGTAACGAAAAGACAGCAACGACAACCGGCGCACGATTGTGCATGGCTGATTGTTGTAAGAACAGAACAGAACATCGTTCCACTACAATTACCTCACGCCTAATTTTCAGCAGTCCCTATTCTTGATTCGGAAGGGGGAATTGGCAACAATACTTCTCACTACAGCTTTCTACATTTGTGCCACGCATCACTTTCGCCACCATATCTCAGGTTATTAGTAAGCTGGTGTCTAAGGGCGTTAAGTCGTACTTAATTTCCGAAGGTGTGGCTCTGTGAGTATCTAACAAGATAGCAGACGTCGAGGAGATCTATTGTTTGCGCGCGGATTATATGCCCAAGTCGTTTGTTGATTTGATCGATATTTGAATGGTTGGATCAGCTTCCCGTTCGGTTGTTGGTCGAATTGATAGGCGGCGAGAGACATTTTTTTGGAGGTTGATTTCCAATTGTCACGTTTTTATTGTGGGCCTCTGTCCTCGTCTACATTTTCGCAGTCGTTTATTAGACGTAACTTAGTGGCAACGACAGTCTTGAATAGATCCTCCAGGATTAGCCGATCGATCAGAAGTAAGCACTGAGAAGAGTGACGAGTTTTTCATACAAGTGATGTTGCTTTTTGTGTGAGAAGTTGGTGCTCGCTAGAAACAAACCGTGTTCCGCTCGGAATTAAGATTGCAATCGGGTTACCCTTTTTGAACTCTCCAATCATCCCTGTGCAATGTGAGAGTCGCCGACGACGACTGCTATGCCCATTTAAGCAAACAGTTTAGTAACCAAATGCGGGTAATTGTAGAAAACGTGCTTCATTTCAGGCGAACTTCAATCGTTCAGCACATACACGTATCCAGTGTATGAGCAACGACGCTTCGTTTCACTGCTTTTTCCGCATTAAACTATCAGTTCGTGCTTGGATCCCCTGAGGCTCTCGAAGGCGAGTTTCAAGGAAGCCGGCTTCCGTGGGATCATGCAACATTAGGAACCGAGGAGTGCGCGAGTCAGAGCATACGCATCCTCAATTCTTGGGATATTCAGGCCTAGTGAGATCCTCACATTTCAACAGGCTACTTGAATCAGTGTAAATAACCTCAAATTTGTGCTTCAGGGAATCTCCCCAAACGAAGAATGGCAGCTTGATTGCTAGTAATCAGTGGCTGTTTTTTGTTCTCTTCCAGGTATGCCATCGTAGCAATGGAAGTTGCACTATGCACCTCCAAAAGTGGTAGGTTTCACAGCACTGAACACATCTATCTACATTATTTAAATAACTAATCATCGATCGTTTGATTTATTGTTTTTCAATGTTCATATCATCTTCCGGTTGTGTTCAGTTAATAATACACTAGAAATTCTAGAGTATCATGTTTGGATTAGCCTATTCCATGGTCAAGAGGAACCGACTACTCTTGATAGTGTCTTTCGCTCTTTGCGAGAGTGTTCATTACCCGCTATTCGAATGCATTTGATGGTGTTGGAAATGTTTGTGGTGACCGACAAAGAGCCTTGGGCAGTTGTTTCGTCCTGTTTGAGCCTCAACAGCGAGAACTTTTTGCCCCTGTCGGGACTCGAATCTTCGGGTTGAGACTTCATACTCTTACCTCTGAGCTGCACGGCCCAATGCTATTTAATGCATCCCATTAGTGGGGAATTAACGATCTCCCAAGGAGTGACACTCAAAACCAACAAGAGTGCCAGGTGCCTCTAAACAATGGAACGGGCTAGTCCAAACATGATACTAACATTGAATAAGCCAATGACACAAGGTGATGACCACTGACCATGTAGCTCAGGGGTAAAGGTTTGAAATCCGGACCCGAAGGTTCGCAGCCCGAGTCTTGACAAGGAAAAAGTACGCGCACCGCTGACAAGTCCCAAACAGAAAGAAATTGCTGTCCAGGGCTCTTTTTCGATCATCACAAATGTTTTCATCGCAATTAAACACTAGGAATTCACCCGTTTTCATCACTTTATTATATCTTAGATTATGGAAGCAGCCCTATACTCTTGTGAGGATAGTTGCATTGAGTTACTTCCGGGTGGCGGATTGTCTGATCTGGAATATGTAGGCAACCTTATGCTACTAAGTGAAGTTCCAGGTAAGTTGCAAGCTTTTCTAGATTTTCTGAGTGCTAGTTTGGTCATGTTCGGTATGCATTTTGCATCTTCAAAGTGTAAAGTGCTGCTACAAGACTGGATTGGTCCAGTACCCTGTCTCCCTCTAATTGGGGAAGTAGTCGCTATCTGGGCAGCTGTCTCACCTGGCGGACGCGTCATAGATGGAGTGTCAGCTGGCATACAGGAAGCTCGCTTGGCTTTCGCCAATTGGAGACATCTGTGGCGACATCTGATTGTCCGTGAAGGGTCTAGTGTATGCTGAAGTAGTTAGGCCAGTGCTGTTCTACGATGCAGAAACTTGGCCATTAAGCAAACACGGTAAAGATAGACTACCGGCTTTTGAATATTGCATTGCACGAGTCTGGTGGGGTTACCGGGCAAGTGACGCTGAGGCTAGGCGCAACGTTTTGGGTAAACGCGCCCACTGGAACATTTGACCGACCTCCATAGACTACGTTGGTTGGGGTGTGTTATGCATATCACCAAATGGGTTGCCACGATGCGTAATGTTTGCCGAGGCAGGTGATGGGTGGAAAGAAGGTGTGTGGTCAAATTAGGACCTGTCACGAGGGTATGAAAATACTCACCAGGAGACTCGGTCATACAACTAGCATGAAGCTCTGCATGGGGACCTCGGGATCATTGTAATCAATGTTTAGATACACTGAATGATATGGCTGTGTCGCCAGTAGTGACACCCATGCATCGTCTCAGTTTCTTTGCAGCCTCAGTCCGCTGATTTTCTCCA